ACTTTTTAATTTTAATTTTTAAACTAATACTTAAAAATATATTGTGGATTTATAAACGAATACTATTTAAGTTGAATTATTACAAAACATGAGATTTTTAGCAGCTGTTGAGTTTAGATATTAATTTTATTTAATACAGTTTTCAAATTTTAGGGTTTTTTGATGAACAAATTCCTAGGTATCTATTACCAATCTTTTATTCGGTGAGTCGCGGTCGCGGTGATAAGACGTGTTCGGTTCAAACGGGAGTGTAGCGCGATCGTGGGTGATTATTGCGGGGTGTAAATGTGCTCTTTTAATTATAATTATGAAATGATTAAGTTACGAAGTTTAATAAGTCGTTGAAGTTATAAGTGCCGTACACGTACGTTCGCTAACAATTGCCGTTCGAATTGCAACTTCCGCTTTGATTTGCCGGTTCCAATAAAGTTGTCTTCAGTACCTGGTAAGTTGTTATAACTTTTATGCCATTTAATAATTGATTAATTCATTCATTATAACTATTCTACAAACTACAATACAACAATTTGACCTGAATCCAAGTATGTAAGTACTTCTGGCGCAGTTTTTTGAAGTTACAAATAACCAATGATCAATTAATTTAATTAAATTATTACTGTAGAATGATTTACGATTTCTTAACGTTTTTACTAAAACAAAATCATTTTTAACATTATCTTTTCTAATAAATATCTATGCATTTATCAACGCGCTGGTTGTTCCCTTTAAAAAAGTTATTATAACTTTTAAGGCCATTTCATGATTGATTAATTTATTAATTATAACTATTCGAAAAACTACAATACAACAATTAACTTGAAACCAAGTGCGTAAGTACTTCTGTCGCAGTTTTTTGAAGTTATAGATAACCAATGATCAATTAATTCAATTAAATTATTACTGTAGAATGATTTTAGTAACATTTTTATTAAATAATTCTTATTTTAGGTCTATTTAATAATAAATAGGTAACCCAAAGATTATACTACAAACTCTACACACCAAAAGTTACATTTGTATAACACACGGTAGGTAAATGTATGAAAAAAAGGTAAAATAAAAAATAATTTCGTTAAATACTGATTAACATTTTCTTAACACAGTTTACAATACTGAGTTTATGGAAACAGCTTAATATTAGTTTAAAGCTTAATACAAAGCAACTTCTTGCTTCAGTAACAATCCCTAATCGTAAGTTTTAAAAATTCGTATATTAAGTCACATCTGATCAATGGTTAAAATATTTATTGTTTGTAATGCTTATTCTAATAGTTCATAATGTTTAAGAAGAACATATTTCAGGAGTGGTACCTTCATTTGCCCAATATGAAATATATCAGTAACAATTGTAAAATACAAAAATGCTAAGGTTTCAAATTGAACCACAAAAGCGATTGTGTTTAACTAGTGGAATGATGTAGAGGGAACAATAAAGAAATTAATAAAATTTGGAAAACTATTAAACTGCTTTAAAGGTCATTTCAGTACCCTTAACGACCCTAATCCGTTTTTATCGTTATATTAAAGAAAATAATTTTTGTAGTTGCTTTTCTTGTGTTTAATTTGTTTGATAATTCACAAAGATTGTTTTCTGAAAGCAGTATTAGAGTTGTTTTGATAAATTAGGCACTGTTTGCATGTGAGAAACGTTTTCATAATTTCATGAATTAAATATATAATTTCGTTTCCTAGCAGTATTTAATAACTAAGTTTGATAGTACAACAGAAATCACCTTGTACAGCGTATTTGAATTCTAGTTTGTATGATTGGAAATTGAAATTTTTGATGTATTATCTAAAGTAGAAAATGCTTTACGATTTCAGAAGTTGTGCACTTGCTATTTTAAGATTTTATTACTGTGGTGAGTGTGTATAGTTTATATGATTTTTATTTGCACTGAAGATGGACGAATTGTTGAACTTTAATAATGTTGAATTTAATAAAGATTATACTTATTATTAGTAGTAGTAGTATAGTGTTATGACATGGGTGGGTATGATTTTTAGCATGTACGGTATGACATGATATGATATGATATGATGATATGTTGTAAAGGTAGATGATGAAAAAGAAGAGTCTAACGTGTATATTAATGATAAATGATCTTTCAATAAAAATGATGATGATCGTTGCGACTATTTCTTGTTTGTTACACCTATTTCACTATCTTTTCACAACTTGGAAAAAAGGGGACATGGCATGATAATAGGCATAAGAAAAATAATTTATCTTTTCCTATTTACAATTTATATTTGGGATCGTTTTATATTATGTTTTGTCCCTTTTATAAGGTTGTTGAGAATGAACTTCGATTGCCCTTAGGATGATTGTAAGTGCGTTTTAGGGGCCCCGAGTTACTTCTTTATTCGACCCAAAAGAGAGGGATTTCTGGGCCTCTTTGACGCCGTTGAATTAATTGGTATAAAAGGTGTGTAGTTTTACTGGCACCTGACATGAAATGTTTTGTTAACTTCCCTCCCCCCAACCCACTACCCTTTCGTTGTGTGACCACTGGAAGTTTGTGAAGACGATGATATTTTTTGAAAGGGTGTAGTTGCTTTATAGGTGTATTTCGATGGCCCCGAGGCTGCAGTGAGTGGATAATGTTGATATTTTGAAGATGACGCGTGCAGCGTGTTTTTTTGAGTAAGTTTGTCTTTTCGATTGGCTGCTTTATTATCATATAAGTATATATATTTTTATACATTATTATTATTATTTTTTTTTTCATTTATCCACTAATTTTTTTTCAATCGTTTCATTCAACTTTTTTTGCATCTTGCAATAACTTTTCTTTAACCTGTTACATCCGTCTAGTCCAATCCTGTGCATCCTAAATTAATTCAAAAAGATTTTATTTATTGCTACACAGCAGGTGATTAAAAAATATATCACCAATTTTGTTTAAATTGGAGACAAAGGAAAAAGAAAGTTAATCTAGTTAATGATTCCTCCTCTGACCGACTGTCCCCTCGTCTATACAATTTCCATTCACAATTTTCTCCTTCACGTCTATACCCCCACCTAAAAACAGTTGCTTAGGTCTTTACCACCACCACCCTTTTCTCCATAGATTTATTTAGGGTTCCATTATCTGCACAATTACCAATACAAATATTTGTGATCTTGCTTGTTTGTAAAAATTAAATAATTATCGATTTTTGATTTTTATAGTATTATTAAGGATGCCCCCAATGCAAAAATACCCGGTTTTTCGTTGTTTATTGGTCTTCTTGGTCTTCTGCTTCTCCTACACGTTTTTTGGACCTTTTTGATATTAAAAATAACATACAAAGCTATAATTACTGTGAATCTCGACGACATACGTTCTGATTCGTCCGCATTAAGTCAAGATTGCATTCTTTCCAATTCAGATCACTCATAATTAACATTAAGTAATGTAATTAAACGAAATGTATATGTATATTTACATTAGGGCTGTGCGAATTAATTGAAATGACGAATAATTAAAAAAAACAATTATTCGGTATTTTTTAATTTCAAAAAACGGATGTTGGACTCTAATACCATTCGCACTTCGCTAATTCATATGTATTTAATAAGTAGTTTTGTAATATACATAGTGTCAAACGTGTGTATGCCTGTGTTTGTGTAAGAATAGATAAGAATTTGCACTGTTGTTTTTGTTAATTATTTTTTCTTATTAGTTCTTACGGGCACGTTTATTAGGGAGGTTGTATTGCTTATTAATTAATTTGGCACTAACACGGGTGTAAAATTAATCAGCTCTGTTAAAGTTTTTTTGTTGAATTTTATTTCAATTATAGCGTATAAAAATTTGCATATTTATTAACTTTGAACCCCCATAACTTTTTATGGGGGTGAGACCGCCACGAACTTTTTATGGTACAGTGGTGGGGGAGACCTCCTCTTTCTATCCCCCCCCTACTCCCTTCGGGGGTGGGGCCATCATCTAGACATTTTCCAAGAATATACCTATGCATTATACCAATAAAAAAAAAGAAATAGGGGAAAACGTTTGCGTTTTCATTCCGTTCTAGGATCAATTTGTATTGGCACATATTAAAATGGAAGAAGAGCATCTCACAGCATCGGAGGCAAGTCGAACACAGGCCACGATATTTGTTTGTAATGCTGAGCCTTATATTCCGTCGAAACAGGCAATATCCGTGGGATTAAAGTTTCTCCAGCCCACAACCGTTACATTGCAATGAAATTTAATCCGATTTAATATGGTTTGCCAAGCTCGTCTTTGGAGCCAGAGAGCTATTGCGATTATTGCTCAGGAACGTTGTGTGTTTGTGTACATATCTGAACAATGCGAGACGTTAGTTATTAAATAACTATATCGCCATTGAGATACGATGATATTTATCGCATTCTGATATATTAAACAATCAAACATAAAAAGTTAATTAAAATTTTCACGCCGATTAGACACGTTACTGAATAACAATAACGACAATCACGTGTACAAACTTCGAGAAATAACCCAAACCAAGTTAGCACACTGCAGGAAGATAGTAAATAAAAACAACAACAATATTAGTTATGTCTACTAGTTTAATTTTGTTGTTAACGAAATGGTCAAAATAGAGTAACAACACTTACTGTTCGTTTCAAGAAGTTAGAGATATGCCCCTTCCCTTTATTAGGATGCGCCATAGCATAATTCCAAATTCAATCATATTTGACTGCGGAGCTCATTTCTCCACTGATCATCGAGCGAGATCTAGACAAAAGTGTACAGTACCATTTGCAAAATTATTTAAACTGCCTCGTTAAAATTTAAGAATATGTTTTATTTAAAAGCATATTTAGCCAAAAATAATAACAAGCGAATTAACTTAACGCTCTACACACCTATAAAATTTTTGCTTTGTTTTNTAGTTACTGTGAAACAACAAAAAATTCCTGTTTTTTCTAACAATTTGGAAAAAATATTAAATTTTTCTAATAACAAATTAGTAAGACAATTCTTTGCTACTTTTAGAGTAATACAATTCAATAGCTATAATTACTTAAATGACAAAATATTTAAATGTTGATAACCTTGTTAAGAAGGTCACAGTAAAATAATAGAATTTGCGTATCTAGTTTTGTAACGCACAATTTACGTATATTTTGATTTCGAAAGCTATGGAATACAAAAAAAAATGTTGGTATAAAACTTACTTTTTTCTGTTTCTGTGATTCAAAACCATATCAGGAAAGCCACCATCATCAGAAGCCCCACCAATAGATAGAATAATTTTTAGGTCTTTGTTCTTTTCCTTCAAATTAATGATACTTTCCACAAAAGTAACTTGAGATTCAGGTATAAAAATTGTGCAATTAACAATACTGCCAAAACATACATTTATATGAGTGCACATATACGGGTCCAGCTCCTCTGGTTTGAGGTACTCATTTGTTGTGTTAGCATCAAGGGGAAAGTTATAATAACATATTAACTTATACTTATCAATAAGGTCTAAATTTGGTTGTAATTTGATAAAATCATCCCCATTGTACTCTGCTTTGTCTAAGGCATTGTATGCTATAGCTCGTCTGATCCAAGATATTGGCACATCTGTAATAGCATCAATTAATTAGGTATACAATTAATATTTTTTGTTACAAAAATATCGTACCTTCAGGTGCAAAGTCACTTGGATAAACTACCCTATAACCAATTCCAATACTCAATATGTACAAAATACATAGGAATAATAAGCCCAAACATAACGTCAATGTTATTAAACTGAACTTATACTTTTGCAGGAGGGATTTCCTATTAAAATAATTACTAAATTTAAAGAAAGTTCGATGAAATATTGCATTTTACCTTAAATTATTGTTCAACAAAATGTAACCACCAAGTGGAAAAATCGTTTCAGTCATGCTGTAGACAATGACAATTTTGCTAGTTTTCACAATGAAACAATGTTCAATAATGATGCCCACATTTTAGATAAACAATTTATATGCAACTGTAAACGTAATTTCGCCTTTGTTTACATAAATTAATGTTGTATGTTGTATCTGACGTTTATGTAACCTCAACGAATATGTGTGTTAATCAGTACTTCTTCTTTTTATTGTTTGGCTCACACAACTGTTGTTCATTTAGCAAAGGTCGACTCCTTGGAAATTTAGCTTCTTTGATAAGCTTAGAATTGCTATTTTTGAGTTAGCATTACATACTTGAAAAGTTACGTAAAATATCTGAAACACTTTAAAGTTTAGTAATAATATTAGTTCTGAAACAATATTGCATTCGTTTTTGAAATAACTGTTGTTTTTGTCAATTTTTAAACTGTTGTAATGCGAACACGGTTTTATTTGTAGGGAAACCACAAATATGTGATATTAACAAAAATTGAAATAATTTTAAGAATTTTTTGAATGCATCCTGTAGTTCATTTTAATTTATTTTGATTGCACCCCGTATCATACAGTTGACGGCGCCCTCTCGGATTAAGTAGCAGAAGTTGCAGGTTCTTAAAACGACCTTGCGTTTAACTAGCTACAAGTTACAGCGTTTGCTGAAAGATGTCGCACGTTGTATGTAAACATAATTGTAATTTATTACTGTTTATGGTAGAGGGAGCCTAACATCAGAAAAGTTTAAAAATTAAATACAGGGCGATCTGAACATAAAAAATTTTGAACTACGAATATTTTTTTCTGAAATCTGGTATTCGACTTGTTTCTTTTTCTGAATAAAGTGTAAAATAATGAACATTCTACAGAAAACGATAGAAACTTTAAGAATTTGAGTAGAATTAAAGAGAATTATATAAGGTCTACTTAAGTTTAGTAATAATTCAAAAGTGATAGTGGGAAGGGGGGTTAAGGAGCAGATATTCAAATAAAAATCGTGTGATATAAATACTGATCTTTAAAAGAACGCACACATCACAGTAAATAACAACATTCATACTTATAATCTTGCATTCTTAAATATTATTTATACATAAGTAATTCTGTTTCAAAATTCACTTTTAAATTTTCTTTAACTATTAATCCATTTTTTAATACGTATACATAATTATTTTGAAACTAATTACAATGTACATATATCATTTCCTTTAGCATCGAAACGTAAGTTAACAATAATGAAAAGAAACAGTCGAAAAAAATAAATCGTACAGAGAGTAAACGACTAGCAACTAAAAGAAATTAAAAACATGATAATAAANAACGAATATGTGTGTTAATCAGTACTTCTTCTTTTTATTGTTTGGCTCACACAACTGTTGTTCATTTAGCAAAGGTCGACTCCTTGGAAATTTAGCTTCTTTGATAAGCTTAGAATTGCTATTTTTCAGTTAGGATTACATACTTGAAAAGTTACGTAAAATATCTGAAACACTTTAAAGTTTAGTAATAATATTAGTTCTGAAACAATATTGCATTCGTTTTTGAAATAACTGTTGTTTTTGTCAATTTTTAAACTGTTGTAATGCGAACACGGTTTTATTTGTAGGGAAACCACAAATATGTGATATTAACAAAAATTGAAATAATTTTAAGAATTTTTTTTATGCATCCTGTAGTTTGTTTTAATTTATTTTGATTGCACCCCGTATCATACAGTTGACGGCGCCCTCTCGGATTGAGTAGCAGAAGTTGCAGGTTCTTAAAACGACCTTGCGTTTAACTAGCTACAAGTTACAGCGTTTGCTGAAAGATGTCGCACGTTGTATGTAAACATAATTGTAATTTATTACTGTTTATGGTAGAGGGAGCCTAACATCAGAAAAGTTTAAAAATTAAATACAGGGCGATCTGAACATAAAAAATTTTGAACTACGAATATTTTTTTCTGAAATCTGGTATTCGACTTGTTTCTTTTTCTGAATAAAGTGTAAAATAATGAACATTCTACAGAAAACGATAGAAACTTTAAGAATTTGAGTAGAATTAAAGAGAATTATATAAGGTCTACTTAAGTTTAGTAATAATTCAAAAGTGATAGTGGGAAGGGGGGTTAAGGATTTTTGCAGATATTCAAATAAAAATCATGTGATATAAATACTGATCTTTAAAAGAACGCACACATCACAGTAAATAACAACATTCATACTTATAATCTTGCATTCTTAAATATTATTTATACATAAGTAATTCTGTTTCAAAATTCACTTTTAAATTTTCTTTAACTATTAATCCATTTTTTAATACGTATACATAATTATTTTGAAACTAATTACAATGTACATATATCATTTCCTTTAGCATCGAAACGTAAGTTAACAATATGAAAAGAAACAGTCGAAAAAAATAAATCGTACAGAGAGTAAACGACTAGCAACTAAAAGAAATTAAAAACATGATAATAAAGCTTTTCACACATGCAAAAAATAAAACAATAACTAAACCTGTGTACTAAGCAGTATAAAAATCAACCATACAAGAAACCACTACTCTATACGAGACGCTATTAACTAACTACGTGTAGTTGATCTCGTGAACTGCCTGAAAAAATTCTTTCTAGGTCATTTTTGCAATGCTTAGTAGACGTTTACACTTAAAAATGAAACGCGAAAGAAAATAGTACAAAGATATGGCATTAAATTCACGAAAAACAACAAAATTCTACAGAAAAACAAAATCACAAGTAAAATAAAGTATAAATAACTTTGAGCACGGCGGAATCATCGTGTTGACAATACGATAAGTTCCACCTTTTTCTTACATAAATGACGTAAAGTTTCGAGTTTTTTTTAATTTCTTTTCCTTAACTTTTTGGAACGATTTCTTATTGCTTATTACCAAGGGCCGATTTTGTAAATTAATTTTTAATATTATTTTAAAGCCTTCGAACCGTAATATGGAGCTTTTTTACTATGTAACACATATTAAGTTAATATACATATATATGGCACTTATGGAGTGTATTGAAATGTTTTTTTTATTCGTACATAGTTAACAAAACATGTGCAATGTTATTTTTAGAAAAAAAGTGGTTTTGAGGTAATTTTAATTTTTGTGAAAAATATTCCGTTTATTCTTTGGAAGAGTTTTGATATATATGTAGGAAAAGTAATTTCTATTTACTAGAAATAGATAGTACGGAGCTTTTTTACTATGT